CGCTCTTCCTTTTGAATTGTATCTTGAAAATGGAAAATCTCTCATTACCTGCATATTCAGTCGCTATGATTTCAAGCTTAGAAACTGTTGTTTGTGAATGGCTGCTAGTTTAAGGGAAGAGAAAGGGTAGACTGATGCATTTTTTTAGTGGAACTTTTATTTTCTGTTGTGAGCATTTAAGTTTCTTCTTTTTTCCTTTTTTGTGCCCAAGCCAGTACTATATAAACGTATTAGGATTCTTAAAATTTGAACTGTGTTTAATTTAGCTGTGAAATTAATGTTGAAGAATTAGTTTAAATACTGATCAGATGGGAGAGGTGCCAGTGATGGAAGAAGATAGGACAAGAAGGGAAGCAAGTGTCCTTAGATACAAAGAGAAGCGCCAGACCAGATTGTTCTCTAAGAAGATAAGATATCAAGTTCGCAAGCTCAATGCAGATAAAAGGCCTAGACTCAAGGTTTGCACCCTTCTTCTTTTCTTTAAAAAATAAAAAAATAATAAAATTGAAAAGGATATCTTCAAGAATGTTTAGAGAGACCCATTATTTTTCTGTACATATTCTATTTTTGCTTGCAGGGTCGATTTGTGAAGAGAGTTACATGATAAGATAAACTCGAAACGGGTTTGGGATATCTGAAGAAACATCTTAATTCTTGGGCCCTATGTTGCTCATGCTCTCTGCTTGTCTCAAATGAAAATATCTGTAACTCCCGTAGTTCAAAAATATCTCTGAAGTAATCTTTCTAAAGACTTTCCGGGCACTTTCTTTTGTATATCCCATCATGCGTGATTGACCTGGTGTTCATACCATGGTTTGGTCCCTATCTGGCTTTTAGTGATGGACTTTTATCAGATCCAGCAATCAAACAGTAAATTGATAGCGAATCAGCAGGCTGGGCAGCGCAAATTGTAGTGGTCCTTCTCCGTGTTCGTTTTCATTTGTAATTCTCATTTTAATGCTCTGGGTCTTCCAACTATTATGGGACCTGTATGTCAGGAGTTGTTTTCTGGAGTGCTAGAAGGAGTTTCAGCTCAGGAAATCTTCAATAGGAATGGAATGTAACTGCCCCACGTAAAAAAGACAGGGCTGGCCTCATCTTGCTGGCTATACTAATTGTTTGAACATTAGCACATGGAATGATGATAAGATCGACCTTGCAGTGTAATTCTACCTCTATTTCCTCTCGCAGAGAATGTTATAATGCGAAAAAATAAAAATTTGAATTTTAATCGAGATTAAGACAGAGATATAGTTACGCCCAGTGATTGTTTTCCAGTATTTGCCCAGCAGTTTGAGTTAACGTATCATTATGATTCGCCCATCGAAAATACTTGATTGTTTAGACCAAAAAATAAGCACGCACTTGTGAATAATTCAGAGATGCTGTAATTTTCTCATTAACCTAATTCTTCCCATTAAAAAGGGGAAGAAATTAGCTGTTGGTTTCTCTAAAGTCCTGATAATTTGCCAGGAGATTTTCTTATTACTTTTTTAATCGTCTTTTGGTGCTTTCCCTTCAATTGTCTCTTTCAATATAAGGTGGGCCTACGATGCCAAGAGAAATGGCTATGGCAGTGACAGTAGCCATTGTCACTGGCTGGCTTGAACCTATACCTGGGCCCTAAATGAGAATGGTGGATTATAACAGAGTCCACAGTAGGGCTCTCATCAACAAAACTTCGGGATCCTTTACACAATTAGGGAGGGAAACACTCGGCTCACCACTTAAAGTTATTGTTTTAAAATCCAGTTCGGTCTGGCAAGTGAATTTAAACCTGAAATTGAACAGTTTTAATTAAAAATTAGTTGGGAATCGAAACCGGACAACTTGGATAAACCCAGTTGACACCTAATTTTTATATAAGTATATATAAAACTACATTGTTTTTGCTTTATTCAGTAATTCTCGAGAAATTCATAAAATTTCTCAATTTTTCCAACAATTGCATCTTGGAAAATTTCTTTAGAATTGTTGTCACTTTGTTTCAACGATCATCAAAGTTGGAATGTAGATCACAATGAATAAAAATATCCAAACCAACATTTATAATCTTCTATTAGACGGAATGTCCTGGTCTGACAATAAAAAAATAGAAATGAGAAAACCTAAATTACCTAATCTTATAAACCTTCAAAGCCATTTCAGTTGCGATTCGTGAAGAAAAGCAAAGCAACAAAAGACGTCAAGGCAAGCCATACCAATTGAAATCTGTAAATAAGGCTAGATAAAATTGATGTTGCTTGTTTCTTTTCACAATTCTCTTTCTTTCACTCTTTCTCTTCTTTATTCTCTGTCTCTTTTTTGAACTTACAATTCTTGATTAGTTAATCTGGCATCGATTCTTTCTTAAACCCAGATGATGATTTGGATGAAATGGTTGGGTTGCTTGATGAGTTGGTCGGATTGCATACTAGTGTTGAAGGATTTGGGAATGTTGCCATTGATGTTAGAAATGGTGAGCTAGAGTTGGTTTGTTTTATTTGTTCTAACCTGCTTATTGTGTCTGAGAATGTTCTCGTTCTGGCTTTGAAAACATTGGCATTATTACTTCATGGTATGTGCTTTTTTCTGCACAGAATGATGCCTTTTGTTCTTTTAAATGGTTGGTTTATGGATGTAGAATTTGGAGTGTGAATTTATAAAAAAATATTTTTTTTTTGCAGAAGGCAATTTTTTATATTTTTGCTATATATATTTTTTAGTTTCACTAGATCTTCAATGTTTACTTTCAGAAGAAAAAGATCATGACTTAATCCTTTATTTATTTGTTATTGGTGGGTTTTTCTGATGTTTGTATCCTTGTAATATACATATGTTCACAGTATTAAAATGTTTCGGTCTAGTGATTGACCGAAGATGATGGTTGGCATTTTAAAGGTTGGAATTGAAAGTTTATAGAAGTATTGAATACTATGTTTGCTATTGCTCCTGCTGCTGCAGCAGCAACTAACAATGAGATCATGAAAGAGTTAATTGATTGAATTTAAATTTGGTTTGTATATAAATTGGTCAATTTATTACATAGTGATTCAATTACTAATATGATAATTGAATTAAGTTTAAAAACTATGATTTAATTACTATATCGTAATATCAGGTTAATTTTTTTTTTAGTTAATGTTTTGATTTTCTACTCATTGTTTTTAATGAATTTTACCCATAAAAACTAATTTTCTTAAGATTTATGTCACCAAATTCCATCATTTACCATGTGTTTTAATAAGATTTTCACCCTTCTATTTAATTCTATTAAATCATATCACATGTGTATCAAATATGTGCATAAATTTATAAGATCGTCTCCTATAAAATAGAATTATATATGTAAAAAGTAAAAAATAAAAAGCAAGAATTAGTTACGAATATTTTTCTTTATCAAATATTTAATATTAAACTAGAAAACAATAGGAAATTTAGCATCTAATAAAATGTTATTATCAACAAAATCACGAATGAGAAATCTATTCTTTTCTGATTAATTGTGATTTAATGGCATATTCTATTCCCAAGTTATTGGGATTTAGAAAAAAAAAAAAAATGACCCAAATTATCAATTTAATCTACTGTATTCTAAATTAATACTTGTTAAATAAACTAAGGCCTAACATCAAGTTTGAACGTTAACACTAACGGTCAAGCTTTGACCCTTACGTCAAATTACTTTTCAAATGGCAGATTATTTATTGAGCAAATGTTATAGTATTCCGAGGCGAATGAAGAATTTTTATGAGAAAGTAATATAATTATTACATAAATAGGTTATGTGGCTCTGTTGATTTCGATTCAATATAAAAAATAAAACCTTTCCTATTCAGCTAAGAAATTGTGCTCGTGTAATATAATTAATTAATCATAAAATATTACAGTCATGGTTCATGGGGTCGTGGGTGCCCGCAAATTGTCCCATCAGCCTCTTTTACATTCCTCGTCTTCAGTTTAGTCATCAGTGCCCCTTTGTGATTGAATTAATTTTTATCTAGTCAGGGGAGGAGCTCTCTCCTGAGAACCTTTACAAGGGGCAATTTCTCCTCAATATCGTCTTGGAAAGAGGAAATATTTTTCATTTTTATAGCCCCTTTCTTGCTTAGCTTCAAGGCTTCATACAATCTACTTCTTGCTTGCTTGAGATGGATCATCTAGGAAACCTTGAGCCAACCAACATCTGCCATGTTATGGCCTTATCATATCCGGGTCGTGGCCATATAAATCCCATGATGAACCTTTGCAGGTCACTAGCTTCAAAAAGACCTGATATTCTTGTAACATTTGTTGTCACTGAAGAGTGGCTGGGCTTGATAGGCTCGGAGACAAAACCTGACAACATACGTTTTGGCAGCATTCCGAACGTGCTCACCTCTGAGAGAGCTCGAGCTGGGAAATTTCCTGCCTTCTTCCAAGAAGTTTTGACCAAGATGGAAGCTCCGGTTGAGAGGCTCCTTGGTCAGCTTAAGCCACCAGTGAGCACCATCGTAGCGGACACGTATTTGATGTGGGCTTTTGAGATGGCAAATCGCAACAATATTCCGGTGGCCTCGCTGTGGACGATGTCGGTGCCGGTATATTCCGTGTTTCAGCATTTTGATCTCCTTGTCCAAAATGGACATTTCCCAATTGAGTTGAAAGGTATGTCTGGTTTTGGTATTCAATCCCCCCTTCCCCAATTAAGTGTTTGAGCAGTACACCTCCACTCCATAATTGACGTCAATCATTCAAAATTGCTCCAATACAGTGAGCTAATATGCCAGGAATTCCACCTTTTTATCATTCAAAATTCCGTGAGTCGTGGCCCTCTCAGAAAAAAGTGGGTAATAATGCACGCGCTACTTTATTTAAGATCTAGCGGCAAATCTCCAATTTAATAATGGTTTGATAATGCTTTGGTCAATCTCTTATTACATTTCTAACAGCCATGTGACTTAGCAGGAAAAGATATCTAAACAGTACTGCTTTAGAAGGAAAGACGCTGTCTTTGTACTTAATATTTTTATCTTTTAAAAATATTTTAAGGATATTTAAATTTTTTTTATTTAAAAAATATTTTAAAAAAATTCAAAGTTTAATATTTGAAATTCATGAAAATGGAATAACTGTTAGGCTGAGAAGCCTCGAGAAGGTAACAAATGTTTTTTTATATATATATTTTTAGTATGGTAATATTAAAAATAAATTTAAAAAATTTAAAAAAATATTATTTTAATATATTTTTAAATAAAATATTTTAAAATATTACCATCACTAGTTTTTGAATATAAAGAGGAAAGAGAGCTTGAAGAACAAAGAATTAAAAAAATAAGTTTTTTTTATTGAAGAGACTTCTCCTTCGAGGTCTATTCTTCTAAAGTTTTATCTTACAACATTATACAAAATCTTTATTTATACTATTTTTTAGGCCTTTGTTTACATCACTCATTACATTGAAAGCACTTAAACACATTTAATAATGTACTTTTATGGTACAAACGATAAGATACAAATGACAAGCTAGTACAATACTAATATCAACCGATAATAGGTTTATGATCTGGAGAAAGATTTTGATTTGATAGGTTATTCTGATCTTGTATAGTTTGGACTTGTAGGGCCAATATATAGTCATTGTCGCAAGCATTTCCATCTCATGTGGTTCCAGAAGCTGTGGTATGCCTAAAATTATCTGATTGAGTTTTTTTTTTTTTGTTTTTGTACTACCTCTGCAAGTCATGGAGATGAGTAGAATATTGAGAGTCATATAGATAATAGTTAATTTCTTCATCAGGATCTGTTCCTTTAGGTTATATTTCATTAGGAATAATATTGTTCTTAAGGCATACTATTTTTTGCAAGGTCTTGATGTTTAGAAGGTTATCTAGGAGGTTTTTATACAGGGAGTATGGATAAGTGTTGTATACTGCAGCCTGTGAAAAACTCATAACCAAATTATCCGTTGAAGCTTTGAAAGGCATGTGGAATATGAAAATAGAGAATAAATGGGCAAAAGCTTGCTTAATAGACTTATTATGAAGTGTACTGCGATATACTTTAATCCAACAAGTTTGTGGATAGGGCCATTTGGATTTTTCCTGTTGGAGAAGAGAGATCCATTGTGTGGGGTTGTGAAACCAAGTGAGAAACTTAAGAGTATAGTAC